AACTACGGTGGCCAGGAAACTTGCGTAATAAGGCTGTAATAAGGTTTAGGATTTAGAGGTCAGGGGTGAGGACATTGTCACAGTTTAGATTATATTTATATATTTCTTTTATGCATAGTTTTATTTGTGTGTAATTACAGTTTTCTCTGAATTGAGTGAAATTGAGTGTTTGGTACCTTTCAGTGGAGGGGCTGGAAGCTTCCTCCTTTGATGGCGTGATGAGTCCAGGGTTTGAGGCTGTAATCAGAATATTTGTATTATACACTTCATACACATTAAAAATTAACAAAGCACCCTGACTTGTTCACACTGCAGGCAAAAGTGGCCCGAATCTGACTTTTTGGCTCATGAGTGACTCAGATCTTTTCAATTCTAATTTGGGCCACTTTCATATGTGATCCAAAACAGATACAGGTGACGTTTATGTCACTCTAGATCGACATTCATCATACAGGTCACTTCAGGACTGTGACACTGGAATCTGATATTGGCCACGTTCAAAAAATAATGTGAATGGCCAAAAAAAGAAAATTCAGATCTGAGTAATAAATTCAGAATTGAGCACTAAGGCTCACAGTGTGAATGCAGTGTAGCCTTGGAGCTGCTATATGTTTTTATTTTCTCACTTTTAGTGTCAGGTCAGTCATCTTTAGTTACTTAAGTAACTTAGATTACAAAATCTCAGTGGGAGAGATATCTGTTACACGTATCACAGCTTTTATTAGTGATGTTTGGACCAACTACAGGTCCTTCTCAGGCAAATGTTATTTAACATACCACTACTTTATGATAAAATACAACCAGGCAAATTTAGTATATATATGGCAGTGTGGGAGACTTGTTAGGGCACTCAAAGGGCAGTGGGTTACCTTAGCCTTTGGCTTGTACTTGGAGAAGCGATTGCAGGCAGCCACATTTAACCCAGCTGTTTTCAGAGCTGATATCCTGGCCTCAATGTTTGATACCTTAAAAGGCGAAAGATACTTCATTTAAAAACACAATCCAATACAAGATTCAATCCTAGTGTGAATCTAATCACAGTTCATATTTGTCGTAAAGCTGCAGAGAAAAGCCATCCAGTACCTGTAGTTCAGACTGCTGAACCTGAGCAGCTGCAGTGGCCACCTGGTCCTCCAGGAAGGCCAGCTCTGTGTCTGTTGTGCCACTGCTAATACTGCGGGCACACTGCTCCAGGTCCCCAAGCGCCCCCTCAAGCCCGTACACAGCACCAGCAGTTAGGTACACCTGTACAGAGAAGAAGACACTTAGCTCCCAATATGATTGAATCTCAAAATACTTTTCTTATTGTGTGGAAATCTAAAGAGTGGTAAATTTGTTGGGCTAAGGTGCCCTTTAGCTTACATTCTCCTCCATCTTGGTCAGCCTCTGGTCTAGCCTGCGGGTCTCGGAGCTGCTGGAGATGGGAGAAGCACTCATGGATTCAGATGGGGTGTAGCTCTCACCTCCTGCCTCACCGATCAGCTCCTCTGTAGCGTTCAAAACCTTCAGCACTTCTGTGGTGATGCTGCAGAGAGAGGCCGCCGAGTACTTCTGCTTCATTTGAAGAAAAAACACACACATGCACAGCAGTCAGATGATACATCCTGAAAGGCCTAATGTGATCAGGTTAAAGAGGAACAAAATATTGAACTTTCATGATTAAAAGTGAAATAGTCCTACCTAGAAATTAGGTTCAATGATGAACTGGCAAACCTTTTAAGTTGTTATGAGCATAAAGACTTAATGCATGCCTTTATGTAAAATCTGTAAACATCACATTAAGGACAAAACAAGGGCTTAATGTAGCAGAATCACAGAAAATAAAATGAAAAAATATCTTTCATTCAGAAAGCAAGGGGATATAGCAAAATGTAATTATGCAATCACAGCTGTGGGACATTATGAAGTCATTAGGGTATTGAAAAACATATTAAAATCACCATTTGAAAACGAAGGGGAGAAAATAAACTAAATGTGGCTTAACCTAAATGGCATGTGTCTTTAATAGCAGTGTTGGCCTAATCAGCTGTTCTGTGAACATGCATGTCTGCAAATGCATGAGCTCAGAAGAGCAATCAGAAGGTGCAGAACAAAGAACTGGAAGTGAGAAATGCAGTAGTGAGGAGGAAAGGTAGCAGAGAAAGGTTTCAAGACAAAGCCTGAGGAGTGATTGATCCTTTATTTTTTTTAGGCTTTGATCAGTTAAAAGATGTTTCAGTGACTAGTATATCTCTCATTGCTGTGCAGGGGCTGCAGGATAGCAATTATGGCATGTGGATGTTTAGCTATACGGAATCAGGAATACCTTAGCGAACAGGAAACAATTTCATATTGAAGCTTATATCCATCATTATCTGTCCATTAGACGAGATGCTGGTGTACAAATAATTTCTTTTGACCTTTCAGTTGAAAAACTGGTACATGAGTTTCCAAAAAAGTAATAAAAAGACGAAGGCTCAGTTAATTAATGGACAAATCAGTTGGTGGAGATCTCTAACTACCATATCAAGATCCCTTCCACACACAAACAAAAAAAAACCTGTTAGTCAGTCTGTTTACTGCTAGTCAGTGTTTCGATTAACTGGAGCAGCTTGTTCATCCAAATCCAAGCTTGTTTCCAAATTCAGGCTGTCTGGGACAAATGCCTTGTAAAGAAAGCTGCAGTTTTTTTCTGAATAGATGGAAACATTAAGCAAGCAAAGGAAAGGGCAGTGAAGAGAGACAGATGTAATTCAATAATGAATGAATCACTGGCTGAAGCTTTGATCAGTGGGATTGGAGGCATATTGATCCCTCTCTCAGCCAGACCGACAGTGTGACAGTCTGAAAGCCAGAGCTTTAGGTAGTGACATGAGCGGTAGTGAGGGATAAGAAGGAGCTGAGGAGCAACGATTTGGTCAAGGCAGGATAAAGTATTGGGTGAAAGATGAGAGGCAGAAAACCAAACCTCTTATCTTTTTTTTTTTAATGAGCATTTAGTGATCTTAAAAAGAATAAGAAGCAGAGATGGACGGTCCTTGATATTGACTTGGGTTGGTCGATGGAGAAATGGATGTTTGGTGAGAGTTCTCATCCTCTCCAAAGAAACAGGCCATCACCATTCAGATCAAACAGTCTGACACACATACACGTCTCACTGCTATTGATGTTAAAAATCTAGTTTGATTTTATATAAAGATAGAAATATAATGTAAGTAAGGAAAACATAAGTGACTGGAATATAAGTGGAGTTCTGTGGTTTAGTAATTAAATGACATTAGTTAATAGCAGGGACAGGTCATTTTGCATTTCTTTTTAGTTCTTCTACATCTTGCTTTGCCTCTCTGTAGTCGTGTTGTCTCTCTTTGTGGACATTTTGCTTCTTTTTACTCATTTTGCATTCCTTTTTTGATGTTTTACGGATTGTTTTGTGTCTCCTTGGGGTCATTTGATACACTTTTAAAAAAGAAATGTTAAAAGTCACATAGGTGCCTGAGTAAGTGCATATGTGCGTTGTTTTGTCAATGTAAGTGTGTGTGTGTATGTGTGAAAGAAAGTTATGAGAAAGTCTGTTATTATTACAAATTGCTTTGTTTTACAACAGCTTTTATCAGTGATGCAACTAAATTTATTAAACCCTTGGAAATGTGTTATGGTCATATTAGAATAATATATTATTTTTATTATAATATCAATTATTTCTTAAATTATGTGTCCTTGTGTGTGATGAAGGTTATCTAAACTGAAAATGTATATAAATATACCTGCGGGGAGCGAGACAATGCAGGTTCTTTTTCATTTTTTCAGATTTAATAAAAGCAAAGTGCCAGATAATTCTTTAAAAAATGTCAGTTTGATGTAAATACAAAATAAAGACTAAAAAGCCACAAATATCACAGTCATTATCAGACATGTTTTCCTGTATTCACATCTAACTGAGCTGTCCTGGCAGGTTTCAAAGGGAGCTGTGAAAACCAACCGAAATAGATCACACAAGTACATGTGTCATTCACATTGTATGAGACACGTATTACTCACAGGAGCCCTTATAATGATTCTGGCTAATGACCAGCATCGACCCACACGCCTCAGACATAGTAGACGAGGTGAGCAAGAGAAGTGCAAGTCTGTGGGTGAATATGTGTGTGTGTGTGTGTGTGTGTGTGTATAATTTATGTGTCTATCTACCTCATATTGTGTGGGTTTTGACTTTACTATGTGATAGTACTGGAAGAGTGCTTTTAACTTAACCGGTCATAGATTTAACTTTTTTTTTATGTCAATTTCAGATTTTTATATTTTGATATCTAGACATAGCATTTAGTATGGATACACTCTTTCATACAACACATGCTTGTTAGTATTCAAGATATCGCTGTACTTTTTACATGAAGCAATGCAATATGAGCACCAGCAGACATCATTCAAGATGTAACTTTGGAAAGGAAAAAAGCAAAATGCTCCTTTTCTTCCTTTCAGTGTAGTGCATTGCTGGACAATAATGTATGTCAACAGCCTTCTCAAGCTAAATCAAGCTGATTTAATATGCACACCGACATCCCTATATAAAGTATAGTTAATTTTGTCACTTTTCTAGTACGAGTGTACCACTTTACCACAATCTGCTTAAAATTTGTATGCGTTATAACACTGGGAGGCAGCTCATGTGTTAGACTCAAATATAACAGGATGTCAGGATACCAGTATTTTAGACAAAAGTTGCTGTGTTTTCCTTTTGAAGGGATATTTATGTATTTCAAAGGATATGATTTTCATTTACTTGATTATAGATCTTGTTTTGGTTGGAGCTTACAACCATCTTGGTTGCTCATTTTTCACAAGAAAAGTTGCTTATTACCCAAAACAATGCCTGTGGCTGTGTTGCATTCTGACCTTTTGAGGTTTTTATTAATGAAAAAATTATATTTGTAGCTCTTCTGTGATGAATGTCTCCGTATATGATTCTTCTCAAAGCAAAGCAAAGCAGGGGTTTTAGAGAAAATACCTTACTGTTTTATTTTGAGAGACTAACAGCAATGTTTGAACAGCTTGTTATGCTACTACATGCTACTTTAACTGCACTGCAAATGCCAGAAGCTTTATTACCTGCAGAAATAAGAAAAAATACAAAAAGTGACATTCAACTTAATCACACATCCAGCCATCACACACTTTGTAATGACATGCCTGTGCATTTACATGAGGAATAAATGTAGAGTTTAGTGTGCTTAATCAGAACAAATGTGTTCCATATCTAAAATGTGTGCATGGGTGCAGGTGTGGATACAGTATGTGTGCGTGGTAAGATGGAGGTTTAATTAGAGTTGTATGTCCTCAAGCGTGGCATCCTGCGCAAGACCTCACAGAATTCCTTTGCTGTTCTAGCCGATATCTCACCTGCTGCAAGAGAGAGGAGAGCAACTGAAGCCTCTGTTGTTGCTCCAAGTCATTCTGTCCCTCCTGACACACACACACACACACACACACACACATTTACGAAGAAACACACAGACCAGACAAAAAAGTAGAACAGAAGCACAGAGAAAAAGGGAAAACACGGGATGAGGGACGGAAAAGGACAGCAGTGATCGTCACATAAATGCAAGGATAAGAGAGGAAGATACGAGGATGAAGAGTTATAGAGGGTAAAATACGAAAGACATGAAAACAAATGTATCAAAAGGCAGACAAACAGACAGTACTCTCCAGAAAGGTAGTAGTGGAATCAAATCTACTGTACTTTCTTCAAATCCCCTTACCTGGTTGTCTGACAGCACCCCCTCCTGGGAAGAAGGTGTCACAGCAGGTGAACTTGCACTGGATCCACTCCTCCTTGCTCCTCCTTTCTGCTCAGCTTCCTTCTCCACATCTCTTTTATGTTGCCTCTTACTGTGTCTGTTCGGCTCTCTTTTATCTCCTCTCCTTTGCTCCTGGTTGCCCACTTTCTCTTCCAAACTTCCCACTCCTTTCTCTAACCTCCTCTCTCTAACTCTTCCTTCCTCTCTCACTGACTGACTCTTTATTAGTCTCTCACTTCTTTTCATCTCTTTTCCATTCACTTGTTCCACTGTCTCCCTTTCCTTACTGCTGGTCCTGTCTCTTAATCTGTCACTTGCTCTCTTCCTTTCTCTTTCTGTGTCTTTTGGCTTCATCTTCTCTCTCTGTCTGTCACTTTCTTTATCCTTCTGTTTGTCTGCAGGCCGCTTCGTGCACTCCTCCTCAGATGAGCTGCTGTCTTTGCTGTTGGCACGACTGACCAGCTGGCTGAGTCTGGATCGTATCTCCTCTTCCAGAGGGTCTCCAGGCCCGGAGAAGCTCAGCGAGTGCTGGGAGCCCAGAGCAAGAGAGTGGGGCTGTGGAGGGCTGGGGGCTGCTGAATTTGGGGCCACTGTGTCCAAGTCCTCTGGCTCAGGTGTCATGGCATCCAATTTGAAGGCGTCTGATGCAGCTGTGGCCATTGGCATAGTGTCAGGTACTGACTGTTCCTCACTTAAACCCCTCTTCAGAAGGGCATTGAGTAGAAAACCACTGTTCTCCTAGAATGAGGAGACAAAGGGACACAGAATACTTTTCACCTATATCAGATGTTCATCAGGAAACGTAGCAAAGAAGAGATTAGGAGGCCTAAACCACATTATCAAACACAGAATTGTAATTTGCCGCCCCCCAGTGGGGAAACAATATTATACAACCACTTTATTTCAAATGGCAAAGTAGCTACTAGTATCCCTAAAAAGGCAAGTGTGATATTTTACCTGCACTAATGGGTAGATGGACTGTGTGTGGCTCTGGCCTCCAGGCCTGCTCTGCTCTGTTGACGACTCTCTCTTGCTTTTCCTGCGTCGCCGTGATCTTCTGACCGGGTCACTCTGCCTCTCCTCAGCCTCGCTGCTGTCGCCCATCACCTGGGAACAAAAGGAGGGAAACAACAAAGTACGTTTACTCAAGTGCAGATTTGAGGTACTTTTATTTCCCCTTAATGCTACTTTATTTATCTGACATAAGACATAAGATAAATTTATTTCAAACCTCTGCCAGCTATAAATACATCAGTATTAATAATCTAATAATGTCATATATCATAATATAACACTCACAGGGGCCAATTTCTGCAGACCAAGTACTTTAATTGTGATACTTCAAGTACATTTTGACTTAGGAATGTTACTTGTATTGGTCGAGTATTTTACTTTGTTGTTTTGGCACTTTACTTAAATAAAGGATATTAATATTTCCTCCACCACAATTATTCTATTTATTATTATTATGTTCTGCTTTTCACCTGTTTTTTAATGCTTTTATGTAAATATAATGTTTTTCATGCCTGCTAGATAATGACACACAGAATCAGTCACATTTTCAGTGTAAATTCATCCCATCTAATAACATGAAATACATACATTTACATTAGACTATAAAGTATAGAATAATCCAAAGTTATAATGTAAAGGTAAATCACCTTAGGGTTAAAGTTCACATCCAGTCCCTCTGAGTGCAGCGGATACGGAGAGTAGTTCTGGTGAAGGTGTTGGTGGTAGAGTGGCTGGTGATGAGGGTGCAGGTGTGTGTCCGGCGCAGCTTTCTTCCTCAGCAGGTTGTGAGGCGCTTTGCGAGGACATGCGGACAGCACCGATGAGGCTTCCGAGTCTGAGTTGAGAGTCTCTGTGTTGGTGTACTGGCCAGAGGACGGTGATGTAATGGGAAGGTGCTGGGTGTACGTCCATTCCGGGTCGTGCTGTGAGTCCGTGTAGTAAGTCTCATCGGACAGTTTGCGCCGGAACTGTCGCAATGCTGCACCCCAGCCGCCTTCATCGTCCTCCTCAGAGTCGGATCCCATCTCGTCGTAAGCTGAGACGACGCCGGACTCCTTTTCCAACACGCTGAACACCAGGCTCTTCCTCTTGGTTAGCAGGCTGGGCCGAGACAGCTGTGAGCTGTGCAGAGCGATCCAGTTACCGTCTGGGCTCTGGAGCACTGAGGACGCACCTGGAAACACATGAACACACATAAACAGGAAGTTTATTAAGACAAACTCTTATTTCCACCTGTACTTTTTGGATAGGCTGTGTGACCTACTTCTTTAATAGCAATTCTTTTTTATAGTTCAAGATGAACTCTTCCACTAGATACAATAGTTATGTCTCAGTAAAACTTTTATTTAGCCATAATTTGACAAAACAATGTAACTGAAGCTGGTATAACACACACATACACACACATACACACACACACACACATATATTAGGAAAACATTAAATATGACCTGAACAAAATTCACATTAACTCAAAAAAGCAGTAAAAGAGTCAAAATGTTGCCTAACATTTGTGCAAAGTATAGTACATTCCCAATATACCTAATCTGAAACTTTTCCATTCCACCCTTTACAGTACCATAAGATTGTTTTTATGGGCCTAAGTTAAAATAGTTTAGAGTTAAATACCACAAAACCATCACCAGAGTGCAGTGATGTGGTCTTCCCATATTGTACCCTACTGTGCATTGCATCAGCAAGATTTTATAGGATAACGCTTTAATCAGTTCTCTAGCAAATAGAATATCCAATTGCATCTGCATACTGGCATCAAGAGGAATCAAAGGAAAGCTACTTAACCAATGAACATTAAACAGAGTCTGTGAGTGTGGTATTTACTGGAGTTGTCCAGGCGGTCGACACTCTTCCAGGTGGGCAGAGATGTGGCTTTGCCCTCCCTCTTTAGAGAAGCGTACTCTTGCAAGCCACCACCCGCCCCTGCGCCCTCTTCCTCCGGACCCTTCTCTGGGGAGTCGTCACTGGTGAGGGAGAACGCTGACCGTGAGCGCTGCAAGCACACACATCAGTATACACACAGGTTTGAGACACAGATCTGAACATTTTAAGTTAAAGCTGACCCTCCTCCCTTTGTTAACTTGAGTCTGGGCAGGCCCTTCAGACAGAGTTTCATTCAGCTCCAGACAGATTACTACTGCATGGACACAGGCAGCAGCACACTCATCACGTAATATCCATATATAGTATCCATATATAGTAGAATAGGCTAGTCTACTTCCTCTATGGACAGAAATCTGTACAGGTATGTCTGTGGTTCCATATTTTCATCAGCAGATGGAGCTAGAAAACAACTAAAGAACTAACCTGACAGAATAGGAGCTTGTGCAACTACCTAGGATCAGAAAATCTTTTTATAATAAAACATCTTCAAAGTCAAGACATTTTGCCAGTCTTCCCAATGACAAGGGAATTATTTAGATTCAAGATTAAGTTTTCTAGTAAGACTATAGTTGGGTTTTTCTACTGTGCAGTTAATGTTTGTGGATGTGCACTTAAACTTGGTATTGGATTTAAACCTCATTAAGGTGCACAAACTCACACTGCAATCGTGATTTAACATTCAAGAGAAAGGACTGATGTTGGTACATTTAAGTATAGACTGAACTGTCTAGTAGGGTACAGAACAACTTGAGAAAAAAACATAAATTCTTACAATGGGTGGGTGGGTACCATTAAGATTACCCGAAGGATCAGTGTTAAGGCAGTACAGCTTTTAGTGTGTATTTGCATGCACTGTGTCATAGTGAATATGTTTGCAGAGAGCTGGTAAACAGAGCCCTTCCCATGGCGGGCCGAGCAGTCGAGGAGGATCCCTTCGTATTCCACAGGACTTTGATCTTCGCTGAGTGAAACAGCGGGAAACAGAACGGTGAGGCTCAGGGAGCGCAGCTTTGATGCTTTGCTCACACATGGGAAGATGACAAATCTCCTCCAGTCCCTGCTGACTAGTAGTGTGAACCTCCACCAGGTGTGTGTGTGCGCATTGCTGATTTGTGTGTGTGTGTGTGTGTGTGTGTGTGTGTGTTACTGTGTGTATCCCTATGTCAGTGGAACACTTAGTGAAACTGTCAGACTGGATTTTCTTCTGAACCAGTCAGGTATTAATCAGAATTGGTTCCTATGTGATTCAAATCACATTTGCAACACTTCTAAAGCTTTGCTTTTGCCTCCTTAAGGGGTAAATCCACTTTAAAACACTTCAAACTGTGGGAAAAAAGCTATAAGCCATGCATCTATGGGTCTATTTTTTTCTTGGTGGTCTATATTCCCTTTATAAAATGGCAAAACATAGTAGATGAAATTCAAAGGCTGGCAAATGTCCAAGCAATCCTCTAAATGAGTTACTGTATTGTGTTGTTTCCATATGGATACAAGGCAGCATCAAAATACACATCATCCTGAGTTTTGGAGAACGCCTTAATCCTACAAATATTACAAATGTACAAAATGTTAAGTGGGTCAGACCCTTTCACCACTGGCTTTCAATACAACAGCTACACGATCCACAGACGAGCTAAATACAAATGCTCAATGGGATGACATTGACACCACATGTGACCAGTGCTTCTGAAAGGTTACAGTGATTTTCTGTCAAACACAACATTCCTGTGTGTTTAAAATCTGGCAAATGCACAGAGACAACGTCTAGTCCACCCAGAGGAACACACACAAAAACACAGACAGAAGATCATTATAGTGTATGTGCTGTGAACTGAAGTGAGAAATGTACTATGGAAAAAAACAAACCACCCTTTCTTTAAACACATGGTGCATAATGGAGGTGAAAATCCGTCTGGTCAAGACTCAGCGGTTAACACCAGCCAACAAGATGGTTTTAACTTCACCGGATACGGTTGGCATTTTTAGAGTTTTAACAGTTTGCATGCAGGCAGAGACTAACCCAGAGGGAGTATGAGGTCTTCAGGGGGTCCTGTGGTCCTTGTGAAGAAGCTTGAGGCTGAGATGGAGAGGGTAGTTCACTGGGCTGGATCAAGGACTGAGGCTGAGGCCAGACAAAGTCATACTCTGTCTGCATCTCTGAACGATTCCTCCTCTGGATGATCTGAGAAGGGAAGAGAGGAAGGAGAAGAAGAAAGTAAGAGAAGACTAAACGATGCAAGCATATAGAGAAATGTATTTGAATAATGATTTATAATAATAATTGCAAATTGGAAAATGCAATCGCATGACAGCATTTTACACTTAGGCGGTGAATAATTTGTTATAATGAAACTAACTATGAAACCAATAATACAGTTTCCATTTTTCATGTAATATTATGCAGCACGATCCTCAAAGTGGAGATTAAAAAAAAACCACATTTTTTATTTCACCTTCAAAGACTTGATGGCCAAATCAAATGTTAGTTAAAACTGCAGAGCAATTAAACAACTGAAAACTTTTTCTCCAGTTACTATGTGTATGCAAATTACAAGACGTGATTAAAATGAAAGCAGTTGTCATTTGAATCTTAATTCCAACTAAAATATCATATTCAAAGACTTTCTGCCCTCTTCTCAAATGGTACTATAATCCCAGTTTTCAAAAGAGGGAAAGAACTTCAATTTTCTGTGTTCCTGCGCTATCTCACCTACAAAAATGTATTACCGATGGAGATGCTTTTGTTTTACATTATAATAGTCTGTCAAAGTGTCAAAGTGAAGACAGAGATGGGACCTTGCTCTGTGTATTAGATTTTCCTTTTCAAGTGTGCATTTACATTTGAATGAGGTCAACTACTCTGTGTCTTCACACACAAGGGTGAAGTAAACATGCAAAAATAAAACGCACTCTTACTCAACCTACTTTTTGTACAATGGTTGTAGCAAGTTCCTCTATGAGCTCCTCTTTGTGGTCCCGCAGATACCGAGCCTCATTCTGCTTCTCCTGCACACACACACACACACACACACACACATATATATATTTGGTCCAAAACGACGAGAATTACCAGAAAAGGCTCTGTGCAGATGTCTTAGCCAAAAACCATGACTGCATCCCGCTGATACTGAGACCAAGAGGGAGGCGAGAGGAGAGAAGTAAGAGGACATGACAGAGAAAGTGGGGATGGAAAAGAGGGGAATGAAGGGCAAATGGAAAAGAGGGAGGCAGAGACAGAGAGAAAGGAAGAAGAGGAACAGAGAGATGTCTCACCAAGCTGTCACTGAACTCCTCTGCCTTAGCGATGGCCTCCTCTATAGCCTCCTCAGCAACACGCAGGGCGACTGTGAGCGTCTCTGCCATACTGTGTCCTAATAACATGGAGGACCCACACATTTCAGAGATATTACACCCCAACACACATTCCCACCTATCCCTTTAACTCAAATCCAAGTGTTCCAAACCTAGGGGTCACAACTCATAAGGCAAATTTGATGTGTCACAAGATATTATTATGTTTTTGTTTTGAAAAGTGTTTTTAAATCTTAATTTTTTCTGAAATATTGAACAGTTTAGCCTCTTCTTGACTCTTATAAGTATTTAAATGAAACAATCTGAGAA